AATAAGATGTTTATCCTCTATTTGATCATGTTTATCCGCAATTAGTTATATGAATTCAAACATCGAGCTTTAATAAGTTGTACTTTTGCATAATTTACTTGTAATCTTGAATTTTAAGTAAACATTGGTTTTATGTGGTTTTGAGAAAGTGATAATGTTTTTATTTTTTAATAAAATATAATAAAATTTTGAAAAAGAAATATCGATATCAGTATTAAATTAATTTTTTTAAAAGTTATTGTGTTTTGGTGTAATTTTCTTAATTAAATTTAATTATAATTTAATTTAGGTTTAATAATATAATTTTTTATAACGATAATAACTAAGTATTCTGTTAGCTATCAATATTTATCCTAATTATATTTTAGATTTTTTATATTTAAAATGAGATGTTTATCCAATATTTGATTATGTTTATCTGCAGTTAGTTAGACGAATTCAAGTCTGGAGCTTTAATAAGTTGTACTTATGCACAATTTATTTGCAATATTAAAATTTAAGTAATATGCATCAATAAAGAGAACTTCGTGCATGAAAAATCGTTTTTAAGAGTTTTTGTTAAACACACTTTATAATATAGCATATATATACAATCAAAAAACAGAAAGAAAATAATAACTAACTCGATAATCTTGATGTAAACTTGATGCATATTGTAAAGTAATAGGAGTTCATTTCTCATATCCCAAGACCCAATGCCCTTCTTAACTTTTAGATAAGAGATATGATAAACGAAATATAAGCCACACAAACTTTTCTTTTGGGTATGGGACAATGAAATCCCAACAAAAATAAGAACCGCGAAATACGTTTATCCAATTTTAATGCTTACAGGTGAGTCACGAATTACAGAAGTAGTCGACTTGTCTAATTAGAACAGTTTTCTTCGGTCTTAAAAGAGATATTTAAATAATCCTGCTACTTCCATCTTATTGTTATGCCATAGTGATCGGTTTATTATAGTGTCGTAGTTATTTTATTATCCGTGTTTTATTAATCATTCTTTATTTCGATAAGCATAAATGAAAAATATAAAAGATAAATTTAAAAAAAAAAACAGAGGAATTAGTGTCATTGCTATTGCTGCAAACGGCATAGCGCAATGCAACAGGGATCCGGAGTTGATAGAATTATTAAAGTTGAGAAACAATCAAATCGGAACAGAAACATCAAATGGGCGAAGTATGATCGATGAATTTGAGGATTTCACTTTCACTTGTCTCATTGATGGTGTTAAATAATGTGTTCATTCCAATGCAATAGAAATTTTTTGGTAACTTGAAGCTGTTCCTTATGCTGCATATTGGTATTATTCCAAGCATCTTTTTTTTTAATTGTTATCATCAAGATACCTAAATCTTACAAATATTTTGTATAAATGTATGTGGGTGTATACATGTGAAGTCTTCCATTAAACTAAGGCCAGAAACATATGAACAAAAACTGACAGTTTTTATACTAGTCCTAGCACTTTAGACCAACTTGTGTGGCTCATATCCTTGTATCTCCTTACAGCAATTGTAGCATATCTAAGGATAACCTGAAGAGAACTCAAAGAGTAGCAGCAGTGATGATGAATGGAAGCCAATCCACAGAGAACTCATATTTTAGTTCAGACAACATCACAGAAGCATTGAGGTATGGTACATCTATTGTTTGAAGTGTATATTATTTATATATGGAACAACTTGCATACATTGAACCCTTGAACTCCAGAGAGACTGGATTCAGCTGGTAGTCCGGATACTGCTGGGCTTATTTTGTTGGTCGTTCTTTTTTGTGCTTCTGAGCGGTTGGATGTGGTGTTGTAGGTATGCAGTTGTGACTGGAGCAAACAAGGGTATTGGGTTTGAGACGGTTAGGCAGCTCGCAGCTTCGGGTGTGACAGTCTTGTTGACAGCCCGAAATGAGAAGCGGGGTACGGAGGCTGTGTCTTTGCTCCACGGACTTGGCTTATCGAATGTGCTGTACCATCAGCTGGATGTACAAGACCCTCAGAGCATAGAAGCTTTGGCCAATTTCATACAAACCCAATTTGGAAGACTTGATATCTTGGCAAGCAAACACCTCATCTCTTTTCAGGAACTTGAGGAGAATATTTACTCTTTTTAGACCCTTCTTTTTTCTAATTATTTGTTGATTTAAATTATAAAGGTGAATAATGCTGGAGCCTCTGGAGTGCTGGTTGATGAAGATGGTCTAAGGGCTCTAAATATAGATCCAGCATCTTGGGTAAGTAAGCCGTATTTGCGTTACCTCAATTTGAGTTCAAGGCCATACTCGTCTCGAAGTAAATGTCTAGATTTCTATTTTAGTTTATTTCAAAATAAGTGGACATTTTCCAAAGTAAGTGTCTACTTTCCGGTTTTACCCTTAATTATGAGATTGAAAAATTCTTACCGTAAATAGTTACTCTATACTGTGTGCGTTTGTCACTGTGGACATTTAATTTGGGACGGAAGGGATATATTATATAACCTGATAAAATTCTATTTTGTTCTAGCTCTCAGGCAAGGCCACGAACATTGTTCAAGGGGTGATTAAAACCACATACGACAAGGCAAAAGAATGCCTCAACACAAATTACTACGGTGTGAAGAACGTAATACGAGCACTCCTTCCACTCCTACAGCGTTCCACTTCTGGTGCTAGGATCGTAAATGTGTCTTCCCTCCGAGGTGAATTATGGGTAGGTGTCATTTTGCTATTGCTTACTTGTATCCAACTTCTCAAAATTTAGCATGCATGTTTTTCTCTCTCACACACTTTCCACATGTTGATGGTCTTCATGGAAACAATCGCCTATACATTTGAAGTAGAGGTTAAGTCTGCATACATTTTACCCTCCATTGACTGCACCTCCGACTCGGATATAGTGGGAACATTCATACTGCCCTATGAGTAGTCACAAATGACCTTGCATCTTTTTTATCTCTCCCGCATTTTTTTATGGATTATTGAAAATAATAAGACATGTATTTGGGTTGGTTTGGTTTAGTTATCTTTTATTTGGTGTGATCTTTACATAAAAATCAATTGGTTATGATAAAATAATTTATTCTCATGCAGAGGATTCCAAATGAACAAGTAAGAAAGGAACTTGGAGATGTGGAGTCTTTGAGCGAAAAGAAGATAGACGGGTTTGTTGAGAGGTTTTTAGAAGATTTAAGTAACGATGAACTTGAAGCTAACGGATGGTCAAAGATGCTACCAGCTTACAGTGTGTCGAAGGCCATGCTCAATGCCTACACTAGAGTTCTTGCAAAGACATACCCAGAGATGTGTATCAACTGTGTACACCCTGGATACGTTGACACCGACTTGAATTGGCACACAGGTACAATGACGTTGGAAGAGGGAGCACAAGGCTCGGTTATGCTGGCTCTTTTACCTCAAGGGGGTCCCTCGGGCTGCTATTTTGATCGAACACAAGTTGGCGAATTTTGATCCTGATTTCCTTTGGAGGGACTCCGTTGTTATATATAAGTTCAACTTGTAAGCTATCATTAGGGAGCCCTCAAGTATGTGTTCTGTTTTTGTGAAGAAGACAATGTGAAAAGAGGATTTTGAATTTGTGAATAGCTTTTGGTGCATCGTCACCTTAAGCTTTGTATGTGTTTATGTCCAGTATGGGAATTGTCTTTGTCTACCAATTATGCCATTTTTTTCGAACACGGTTCAAGGGTTGTTTAGACATTTGTAACATTTTTTTTTTATAATTTTTTTAAAATAGATAACCAGAGATCAAAATTTTTAAATAAAATTATATTTAACTCCAATAAATTCTTTATTTTAGAGATTGTAACATTAATTATATTATTATTATATTCTATAGTTTTATCATTCCAATGTACTTTTTAAAAACTTCATGTTAAATAATAATAATTTAAGGGAAAATTACCAACATAACCAAAATATACCCGATATATTAACGAAATAACCAATTTTTCATGAAATTGTCAAAACGACCACATAGATCTCCCCCGAGGGCGATCCCCTTCTTTTTGAACAAAAAAATACAAAAAAAAAATTTAAGAATCATTTTGGTTGGTCCCACATACATCACTTTATTTTTATTATTTTTTTTTTTAATATCGATTAAGTGGTGTTTTAAATAAATATGAGACGATATTTAAACATTTTTGTTACCATTTTAGGACCAAATATCATGTTTTTAGTATATAAAATAAAACATTTTTACTCTCACAACCCGTAAACATAATTTACCGTAACAAACCTTGTAAAAATATGATTGTACGTGAAAATTTCTAATTTTTACCAAAAAAAATTAAACGTATAAACTAAGCAACGAATGTTGTTATATTTTTTCTTATAAGAAATGTTGATATTCTATAATAATTGTGGAAACGAAAAAAATTGTTTGTATCTAATTTGATGGACAAAAATCATATTTTTTATATTGAATCTTATTTACATCCCCCAAATCAGATAAAAAAAAATTTGCGTGTCCACAATTATCATGGTTTTATTTTTAAACCTATAACAATGAAATTTAATCCTAAAGAGGTTAAAAAAAACAGTTTAAATATCATCTCTTTTTTATTAAAAAAACCTCGAAAAAAACGGAAAAAAAAAACAAAATAGGACGGATCACCCCCGGGGGGAAATTGGGTGACGTGGAACCCCCCCGGGGTAGATCCACGCAAAACGAGGTGAATTGTGTTGTACCTTAAAATGATGCATGTGGGACCCATCAAAATGATTTTTTAAATTGTTTTTTGTACTTTTTTTGTCAAAAAGAAGGGGATCGCCCCCATGGTCATGGATCCCCCCCCCCCCCAGATCCATGTGGTCGTTTTGGCAATTTCGTGAAAAAATGGTTATTTCGTTAATATATCGGGTATATTTTGGTGATTTTCCCATAATTTAATCTAATTGGTGTGAATGAATAGAAAAATTATTTCTCTCACCTACTATTGAAAT